TAAAACATCGGTAGCCAACTTCTGCCTTCTGGGGTTCTCCCATTGTGCTGTAAGCCTGTATTTAAGACTTTTTCCCTCCTTCAATAAACAACACTCGGCATTAAAAAAAAAAAAAAAAAAGAAAGAAAGAAAAAACAAAAACAAAAAACAAAACAAAAAATGATCCAGCCACTTGTGACAGCAGAGTAGTTAGCCGGGAGATCAAGAGAACAGAGACAGGTACCAATTTTGATTTATGTCTTTGTGTCTTTCTCTTTTTGTAGTTTTCCCCAACCATGGTGAGACTTTTCTCTAATTACACCTAATAAATTAGCATAGAAACAACAGTTTTTTCTCAAAGCCATACATAGTCCCCTGATTCCAATGACAAGTAAGTCTAAGGCCCTCTGATTTTGTAGGACCATTTCTGTAAAGGAATCTAACTGTTGTTTTAATTTAGAAATGGAAACTCATTACCTCTAGGTTCTGATCAACCTGTCTACTTAGTTTCTTAAAATGTTTTATTTCCCATGTTAAAGGCTGATGTGCCTGTGACTGTTGTGAGCTAGCTGTGCCTGTTCCACCTAGCTCTCTTTCTTTTTTCTTTTTCTTTGTAGTCCAGGGTCCATATTGAAATGTATTTTTCCTTCTTTCCAATTATATAGGTGTGGTAGTTTGAATGAAAATGGCTCCCACAGGCTCATAGGGAGTGGTGCTATTTGAAAGGATTAGGATGTGTGGCCTTGTTGGAGGAAGTGTGTCACTGGGAGTGGGCTTTGAAGTTTCAAATGCTCAAGCCAGGCCCAGTATCGCTCTCTCTTCCTGCTGTCTGCAGATCTGGATGTAGAACTCTCAGCTCCTTTTCCAACACATGTCTGCCTGCACACTGCTATGCTCTCTACTATGGTGATAATGGACTCAGCCTCTGAACTTGTAAGCCAGCCCAAATTAAATGTTTTCCTTTATAAGAAAAAAAAAAAAGAAGAAGAATTGCCGGGAGTTGGGGATTTAGCTCAGTGGTAGAGCATTTGCCTAGCAAGCGCAAGGCCCTGGGTTCGATCCTCAGCTCCAAAAAAAAAAAAAAAAATGGGGATTTAGCTCAGTGGTAGAGCATTTGCCTAGCAAGCGCAAGGCCCTGGGTTCGATCCTCAGCTCCAAAAAAAAAAGAATTGCTGGCAGAGTCAGGCAGATCTCTGTGAGTTTGAGGCCAGCTTGGGCTACAGAGTGAGTTCCAGGAAAGGCACAAAGTTATACAGAGAAATCCTGTCTCGAAAAACAAAACAAAACAAAACAAAAAACTAAGATAAACAATCTTTGCTTGTTTTTGGTTACTTGTTTTAGGCTTAACCTAGAAAACACATACAAGAGATTAAAAAAAAAAGTTTATTTCTGTAATTAATTACATTAGTACTTAGCATGACTACAAGTATAGCGATGAACACATGAAAGAGTTTGATCATTTACAAGGTGATTGACAACTTACACATCTTAATTATCTTAACAGTTTACAATAAGTTAGTAGTTTTTATAAGACTAGGACTTTACATTTTATTCCTTTTACGTTTAGCCTTAAAAATAACAATCTTTGAATTGAAGCTCTTTTAGTATCAAAATGAAACTTTAATTATAGATACAGTCCATAGGGAGACTGGGAAGTTTTCTGATCTTTTTATAGTATACCATTTCAAAATATAATAGTTTCTTATGACTCAGTTTATCAAAATGACTAAAGCTTAAATTTAGCAAAGATAAGGAGGCTAGACACATTCTTAAATCTAAATAGACTTTAGATGAATAAATGCATTCTCTAAGCCAGTGGCTCTCAACCTTCTCAATGCTATGACCTTTCAACACAGCTTCCCATGTTGTGGTGACCCCCAACCACAAAATCACTCTCACTGCCAAACCTACAACTGCAATTCCACCACTGTTATGAATCAAAATGCAAACATTTGACACAGAGATATTCCTTGGCTACCCCTATGAAAGGGTCTTTCAAACCCCAAAGGGTCAAGATCCATAGCTTGAGAACCTCCACTCCAAATTTTGACAGATTGCTTAGGTCATTGACTTGCTACACCAGAAGATAGGATCATTTCAGTTTCTGGTGCTTAGTGCTTGGTGCTCAAATCTATGGCCCTGCTGGAGCCAGCCAACAAGTTGAATAGAGTAGCTGAGTAGGGCATGAAGCTAAGGAGAAAGCAGAGAAAGAAGAATAGACAGAGACAGAAAATTAGTGCTGGAAGGGCTTCTGGTCAATACCAGAAAAACCCCGAGTTTATTTCACAGCCATCTTATGTACAGAACTGAAAAGCAAAAGTAGAACAAGGCACAGCATAATAGGTGGTCTAGCGTGTCCTTGAATCAAGGAGCAGGCAGTTTCATCATCTCAAACATATGTCACCTGCTAACTTCAGCAGCCTGCCTGGAATTGGGCATTTGCTAAATAATTAGTTCTTTCCCACAAAGATAATCAGGTCGTTCTCACAGCCCCTGTACTTTCCCCAGGAGTCTGATCAGAGCTTTCTCACAGCTTCTGAAGAGACCAGAGCAAGCAAGCAAGCTTTGAACTCTTTTGGGTCAGAATGGACTTTAGCTTCAAGCTGAGTCACTGTGGGAAACTGAGTCACTGTGGGGGTCCCATATGGCCCTAACTCTTTAGCCTTTTATTTGTGTATTTAAAATCACATATTAATAATATAAAACATTTTATAAACTTAAAATAGCCTTATAAATAAGTCCAATAGCCTTATAAATTTAAATATTTTAAAAGCTGTTCCTTAAAAATATCTAGTTTTGCCGGGTTCCATAGTGTAGCGGTTATCACGTCTGCTTTACACGCAGAAGGTCCTGGGTTCGTGCCCCAGTGGAACCACGTGTTGTGGGACTCCCCTTTTTTTAAGCCGGGCGTTGGTGGC